TATTTTAAAAACATTGTATAATGGGGAAATCGGACTGTTTAAGCTAAATAAGAAGCTGTAATGGCGGACTGCCAGCACTCTCGCCTGTTCGGGGGTGATGACGTTTAATGTCCCCGACAGGGTTTGTAGTCGTATTGAGCAACTTGTTAGCAACCGCCTTTTTTTACGACACGTAAAAGCTTCAAAATTCACAAGTAGGGTATTTACTGACGTGTTTTATGTCGTAGAACAAAACCTGAAACTCGCTTAAGCTCTTGTTAACCACAGACCTTATTTGAGACATTTTACCAAAATCCCATTCAAAAAACGTATTGACTTTTAGACGAGAGCACCGGAAGTGCTAAAAGCGCTAATGGAGTTCTGGGTTTACTGGCACACTCTATATCTTCAGTAGCTAGCTAACGTTAGCTAACCCTACACTTTTCAAGGTTTGATTTTGGAACAGGGAAGAAACGTAAATCTTTTTCCAACCTCTCCAGGTAACGAGTGTCATTAATACAGGACGTGCCCCAGGCACAACATTTAGCTCAACATCCACAAAACCAGCCTGGAAATGATGGAAATCTGAAGCGACTGCATTCGAGTCAATGGAGCACAGCTGTGTTGTTGTCTGACCCTGGTCTGCTACATTATGATTGGCCAGTTTGCATCAGGGGCAGGTCTTAGCAAAGGGTTACTTCTTCACTTGGACCCAACAATGAACTGATTAGATTTTGGTGGCCAAAGATCAGTGTGACCTCTGATCTGTTTTCATGAACAATTTGAGGGAAGTTCTTCAAATTTGGCCTAAACATTCACTTGCACTCAAATTGGACTGAGTCTCACCTGATCCTCCTTAAACCACAGCCTCCAGTACTGTGTGACATACAGGTATAAGGAAACCTTGAGAAACGGGGTGAAGTGTTGTATTAGAACATTAAAGAATAGGTGGGTGGAACATTTGCATTTCAAAGGGACTCCTTGAGCTCCTCGTCTCATCACTGTTGAATCTGTTGGACCTTCACTGGCCCTTTAAATCCCCCTCTGATGCTGACAAACACCTGCCTGAGGAAACAGGAGCATCGCAGGACTCAAAGAAAGAGCAATGATCAGTACACTGCAAAAAATAAAAAATAAAGATAAATAAGTTAAATACACAAAAAGACAGATATATGTCAGATATATTTCTAATTTCTCATTTCAGAGAATGTAAAGTATTCTGCCTGCATCCACAGGGTGTGAGACAGAAGTCAAATTACAAGTGTGAAGCGTTTGGGTGTGTCTCCTGTTAACACCGTTG